GGCGCTGCACGAGCTCAAGGCTGCCAGGCGCTGAACGGGCTCGCAGTTGGTGAGCGCTGCACAAGCTCGCGGTTGCCAGGTGCTGCACGAGCTCGCGGTTGACAGGCGCTGCACGAGCTCGCGGCTGGCATGCTTCAGAGTGTGACGCGCTCAGCACTAGGCAGTCGCTGCGGGCTCGGATGTGAACGCTCATTGTCAGACGGGCGGGTTCATGGCGGCGGTGGCGCCAGGAAAGCTGATCCTGCAGTCTAGACGGACACATGGGCGGAACAAGGGTCCAGCCACGGAGTATGGACATTGGTTTGCGGGTTCACTATGGCGCGGGCTTGTCTAGCGACCGTCGCGCAGGTTGGAAAAACACAGGACGCTAAAATTGGTCCCGCCCACTGAATGCGGCCTGGACCTGTGAATGTGACCATACAATAGCTGTCATGATAAATTTGATTCCTTGTTGCGCTTCGTCCCTTCCTCCATTAGCAGCTCCTATATACAAGAGGCTGTGACTCGATATTATGGAGTTCAGCGGCTCGTTGGAGCTATTGAGACCATTGTTAACACCGCTGGCGAGAGTTGTACTATCGACACACAAACTGCGCGCGCGTCCGTTTCAAAGTGATGAAAATTGACGTGTGAATGGTTTGTTAGAGCTTGTCACCATTGAGCGCGCCTTAGCGTATCGAAAAGATATGCGGAAATTGTAGAGACGACCATAATACATGCGTGGGCTGAATCGCTATTCACGGATGAATCCAGTTGCAAAACAAGAATGGACGTTGTGACACGAAAAAAGGCATACAAAGCTACGTGTTCAGCTACCTGTCGTTAATTACTCACGACAAGTCATCTCACCTCTCCAGATGACTCGTGAAGGAATTGTCTGCACCATATAGGCCTTTTGGGTGAGGTAGCCAGGTTGTGGGTCATCGTCGGTCAGACGGGAGTCTTGCATTTTGTCTGCAGAGCCGTATCTGTTGTGCTTGATTAGCACAGTTCTTTTTTATTCGATGGCACTACCAGTCAGCATAGCAGGACCAGCAGAGGCAAAGACTTGCTGGGTGAGGAAATACACTTTCGAGTTGTTTTTTTTGTATTTATTTAGTGGGCGAAATGACGGCAAATCGGACTAGACCTACATAGGGATAGTGCACACAGGACGGCTGACAGAATGACTTGTATTCATTATTACCCGATTATAGCTAGCAATACATACGCTAACACACGGGTGTCGATTTATTCAAGCGGCACATACAGCGCTGAAAGTCAATCATCATCCAATCAATGTCAGGACTCAGTTGCAACTGACGACCAACGGAGATGAACTGGCCGAAACGTTTGGTACATACTGGCACACCAGACGGAGATGATAATTAGGTTGATCAGTCTGTTCGCATACGAAATGGCTCGGCTGGTGCCCCCATGTCTGAAAACAGCTGGGGAATGCACTCTGGCCAAATTGCGCGGCGTAACAAGGTATGCATTGGGGCAGCAAAATGCACCTTTGCACATTGTATATGCAACAAAGTCATCAACCAACCAAGTGCATACTGAATGCTGCATCTCGGTGACTACACAGCGTCTATATCCATACTGCATTGCGAGGGATGCGTATTTTCTAGCGATGAATAATTCCCAAAGCGCCTCTTTTGGTTTCAAATCAGCGCGAAGCCATCCAGTTTTCGTTTTGAGCGCGGCTCGTTTGGCGAATTAATCCGAAGCCTCCCACTGTCTCATTAGACGTCACACGAGCTGGAAAATTGGAGCCGATACCCGAGCCGCTGCGAAATTAAGTGGCATCCGCTGGCAGGCTGTGTCAGGCTCGAAAACAGCGGCACTCAGCTGCGGTCTGCTGAGAATAGAGCGGTGGTATGCCTCAGCCCCAGCCAAAACCTTACTTCATCTGCCGCATCTACTGGTGCGTCGCGAATACGTTGAGCGCCGTCCGCAGTCCAGTATCGTGCAGTAGCTATTTTGAACTCTGTAGTCCAGTATCGTGCAGTAGTTATTTTGAACTCAGCCCGGATAGCGTGCAGAAAGCGGCGCACCCGTAATCTTGTTTGATGCAGTCGGCAGACAACTGGTAAACAAAGTGCTTCCAAATCGCGTAAAACTTGGGAGAAGATTCTGTAGACGTTGCAGGGCCGGCAAGTTTCAGGTGATCCTTCTGTAATGGCTGCCCAAGAAGCATGTCCTACTGCGATACGAATCCTGGGGGCACCAGGGGATCCTGTGCAATAGCAGCCCAAGTCTGGCAACTGCAATTCCAACCAGGGGGGGGGGCCACGTCACCACACAGCAGTCAGAGGTCTAGCTGCAGTGCTCATTAACCTCATGAGGCTCGAGGGTCCCCAGTCCGCGAAGCTGTTCCAGTTTCTGCCCCAGCAGAGATCGATGACATTCGGCCAATAGGATCCGGAGACCTGTTGCGCTCGGCCGCCAGTGGAGGGCGCCGGTAGCATTCCGTTGGTAGAGGGCAGCTGTTCTTGATTGGTCGGGGGGACCGGTGGACCGCTCTCTCGTGCAGATGCGGTGTCGGTGCATAGCTGGTCCACAGAATCTGTGTTGAATAAGTGAGGCGCATAGCCTAAGTTATTCTATACCAATACGAAACATAACTACATGAATGCGCGTGATCCGTTTAGCAGTAGCCTGCTCCACCAGGTCGGCGGTGACGTCACGTGTCACCCATCTGATATGATGGGTGACGCGGTGTCACGGGGTGAGCTTTGACATCACAATACCGCATACGGTAGTGGGGTCATATCCCAGCCTCTGCATAAAAAGCAGGGCATTTCGTACAATATGGATCATCTCCCCTCCAACAAGAAGAATTAAAATGTTTAAAGCAACGAAATTGCGTGAATGTGGCCAGCATGCATTAGACGCTTATGGATGATAGGTGTACAGACGGCACCGGCCCCATGAGCTGACCGCGACAGGACATGCCGCCGCCCGCCGCCGCGGGGTCGGAGTTGCGGGCTCTGGTCGGCCGGGCGGCGCGGCGGCGCGGCGGCACGGCGGCGCGGCGGCGCGGCCGGTCCGCACCGAGAACCCGTGGTCGGAGCTGTGAGCTCTGACCGAACGAGTGGCGCGACGGCGCGGCGGCGCGGTCGGTCCGCACCGCGAGCCCATGGTCGGAGCTGTGAGGTCTGGCCGGACGAGCGGCGCGGCGGCGCGGCGGCGCGGTCGGTCCGCACCGCGAACCCGTGGTCCGAGCTGTGAGGTCTGGCCGGGCAGCGCGGCGGCGCGACGGCGCGGCCGGTTCGTACCGCGAACCCGTGGTCGGAGCTATGAGGTCTGGCCGGACGAACGGCGCGGCGGCGCGGCGGCGCGGCCGGTCCGCACCGCGAGCGAGCCCGATCGTCGGCGGCTCAGCCGGGCCCGAAGGATCGGGTCCATTTACACAGCTGTCGGATGATGGAGATTCAGTGGAGCTGCCAACGGCTCCCTGGCGTATAATGCCCGTCCGGCCCGTTCCCTGGAAGCTCGGAGTTGGCAGTGGGTTGTGATAGGAAGTAGGCAGTGGGATGTGATAGGGAGCAGGCAGTGGGATGTGATAGGGAGCAGGCAGTGTCAGCGAACCAGAGGTGTGCGCCAGACGGGGGGTGTGTGGAGCGTGAAACTCCGTGCTAGGACCTGCAGGCCTGGTGGCTGGAGTCAAGGCTGCGAGGTGGCACTGTAGGACGCGGACACTGGACGTTAATAACGTTCTGCAATATGCATTCGCTCGTCGCGCCAAGTGCAGTGGTAGTGGTCATGGATGTAGATCGGGCATCAGCGTTGGTGCAAGCGTCAGTTAGTCAAGCCGCGCTCGGCAACTGATTACTTCTGGAACGATAGGCTTTTCGTGACAAGCGACGCGTGACGAACGCTGCCTTGAGCCAAGGACAGTACGTTTCTATCTTTAATTTCTCCAGTCCCATCAATGTTTCAGATGCAAATGGTGGGAAATCAATGCGGCCCCTCCTTTGCCCCTGCTGTTGGACGATCGCGGGACAAATCAACGAGCACCAGAATCACCCGGCACTGCGACCCCAGTCTGCGGCAACCTCGCGCCGGCAACGGCTGGATTCAATTGCTCCATGGCGACAGTTCCGGGCCACAACCGCCGCCTTCCCGTGGGGCGAGCGCTCGTTCTCCCACCTATTCATCGGCATGCGCCGCGTTTACAAGCTCTTTAAACCGAACCTCATTTCGTGTCGGGCCTCCTCAGAAGCAGTGGTCGCAGAACTGCGGGCAATGCCACTTGGACGCTGATAGCCAGACAGCCAAGGGCCTTTCGTCTGTGCCGCTCCCGACGCGGCCTACAGAGCGAGTGGCGGCGGCGAGTGAAAGCCCTGTGCTCAGTGGTTGACAAGAGTTATGCTACCCCCATATGACCGTTCAACATACGACGCTCCCCGTGTGATCCATTGCCTCAATTGTTTGTCACATAATCTTTTACCTGGTCATGAAGAAAGGCCGTTAAGGCCGTGAGGGAGGGGCTTGTAAAAGAAATGTATCCTGCGACCAATTAACTCTCTAAAGGCTCGAACACCTTGAGCTTTGCTCTGTTTTATACGGTTATGCGCTCCAACTTCCCACAAACGCCTCATCTAGCCGTTATCCCGGAGTGTTTTTTCCCGATGTAAACTTCCCGGCCTCGTTTTGGGGCGGAAGTTGCGGGGGTCGTGCTGGTCAGATTTACGGGAAGGCCGAGCCGGCCTGCCTCGCGCACTCTCGACGCGCCGATTTCGCGCGCTTTTCGGTTGTTTTTGCGCGCCAGATGCAAAAACAAGCGGCCCTGATAAACAGATGGCGGGCCTGGGCAACCCGGTTTAATGGTAAGCATTTCGTTCAGCGCTCGAGAACGTCGGGTGGCAGCGGGCACGGCGGCCGGGCTGGCCGCCAGTGAGACGAGAGGCCGCCCGCTCTAGTCACCCATTGCTTCGAACACTGACCTCATTTGCCAGATGAATCAGGCGGACCAGCATGAAATGTTAACAAGAGGGAAACAATTCACAATGACTGGCCATGGTAGGTGATTGAAATGGCGTTCTATACTTCTGAGTTCTCAAAACGAAGCTAAACGTTGCCTTCAAACCATTGATCCAAGGCGAGGACGCGTGGGCACAAAAACCCCAATCGTTGCTATATGGTATGAGGGCACAGGTGCGCAGTCATTATTTTCTTGAATTTGTGGGAGTGAGCTCATGTGCCCACCAAAATACATGTGACATATAGGCTGTCGACATCGTTCGTCTCATGACAGGTCAGATTATCATGATCATCGTAGTCATTACATCATAATGGCAACGTGATATAATTTCGAAAAAATAAATTGTACATCAATGTGAATTTATGTAACCATTAATACCGCCATCATAAAATCATCATCAGCGCTGCCAGAGACCAAACGTGTCCTAAACACAACGTTGAGGGAAGAGTGGATGTGAAACCGCAAATGGTAAAGGGCCTTATACGGGCGAGCAGCAATATGAGGCTTCTGGGCGATGTCTCAGGCTCCACTGTGTAAATTACCTCAACGTGATGAGTCAATAATTTTCTGCAGTGATCGTAACCAACCGCGGGAATTTTACGGACCGTCAACCGTCCTGAGAGAGGGAGCCGATAAAAACAATATATCCAGATATGGTGACGTGTTTTAATCCCGGCCGGTCGCAATTTATGGATCCGTGTTAACAGCACAGGTTTCGATTATGCATATATGCGATCTCCCAGCAAAGTAAAAGATTCAAACTCGAAAGGCTTTGGTTATTATCGTTCGTTCTGTTGACTGAAATCCCTCTATATGCCACTGCATTACAACGAGACCTTTCCTAATGTAAGGTTCATTTGGAAGTAACGAGCGTACTTTGGCAGTTACTGGTTTAAAAGAAGTAAAATGTCTTGTTATCACTT